ATAATTGGGTAAAGGAAAGTTTAATCAAATTTTAATGATTAAATTAAAAATTTTACTAATTTAATGATTAATTTAAAAATATGATTATAATTAAATGATTAATAGTATAATTTATTTTTAATTTTTATAAAAAAATTAAAAATTAAAAATTTAAATTTATCAAATGTCATTTATTAAAAAAAATTACATAAATAAATTAAATTAAATCATAAATTTTGTTTACAAAATAATTTTTTACAAATATTTATAAAATAATTGAATCAACTTGATAATGCAAAAAAAAAAAAAAAAGAAAGGGGAAAGTTAAAGAAGAAGAACGTGGACTAACTGATAGTGCCAGAAGGATATGTAACAAAAGTCTTTGTCGGCTGGTCCTAGTTTTGAAATTAGCAACACCCTAAAGAAATCATTGACGCAACACATTAATGGACCACTTAGCAGTGCCCAAAATTTCTCTGCCTTGACTAATTGGACTCCACCACACTCTAAAAAATAGTACATACAGAAAAAGAAAAAGACGATCCATTATGGATTATTATCCAATGCACTTTTCATTTTTTAACTAAAAAAATGAATTTAAAAGATGAATATATATATATGTTCGCCTAAGATATATTTTTAAAAAAATATTAATATTTAATTAATAATAAATTATTTAATATATGCATTAAAATTTATTTTATATAATTTAATAAGTACCTTAGAACACATATTAACTTTTTTTATAGATTAAAGCACGAATGTTTTTGACCAAAAGACAAAAAAGAAAAAGATATGAATGGAATTCTTGCGTGGTTAGTTATCAGATTGAGCCCCATGCCTGCATCAATCAAATTCGGGGGGACCTTAATGTATGTTGACTAGTCCACCGTGAAAGACTCAGTGACAAAACACACCACGTGCTTGACTTCTTTGAGTCTTCCTAACAACTTTTTTTTTAAAATTTTTTATAATCACAATTTTGACCAATTTTCCTTGCATAATTGGCCATTATTAACCAAGAAATTATTGTGTCTTTGACAAAATGTTTCTAATTAAAGTTAAAATCTAAGGGAAAATTCAAATTTGTTCAAAGGATATAAATCATACACATTTAAAATAAAAATCAAGATCTAAGTGAGAATTGGAAAGAAGAAATTATAAATATTATCCTAATGTTATTTTAATTATTTTTTAAAAGAGATTAATGAATCATTTAAATTAACTATTAAATTAATTATTAAACAAGTAATTTATTTAATTGATTAAAATTCATATTCATTGACGAAAAGATCTTAAATTCAAGTCCTGTCAGTAACTATTTATTAGAGTCACTTCAAATATCACCTGACATTAAGTATTATATATCTTATCTTGATTTGAGAAACTGAACAGTTTATCTATTTTATATTTTTTTTTTAAAAAAAATGATACATTAAAATTTAAATCAAATGTTAGGATATTATTTAAATATTTTATTTTAACTTTTATTTATTTATATTTTCTCATTAATTAGTCTTCCCCACCCACCACTAAGGACTAAAGTCCGGTAGACATAATTAATAAAGGGGCAAATGATATTAATCAATAGTTAGTGATATTGGTTAACATGATATATAAAAAAATAAATTTATAATTAATACATTATTTTTTTATTTAAATTTAGTGAAAATAAGGCATTAAATGTAAAATTATTTTTTAAAATTCTTTGTTTATGAAGAATAATTCTTATCATATATTAATCGAAGTCTTAACTTTTTTTTTTTTTTAGCACAATGTACAAAATATAAGAGGTCAAGAAAGACCAAAAAAAAATATCGTAATTAGTTTATGGAATGGTTGTTTTTATTTTGAGTGCACGACCATGAAAGGACACCACGTTTGACAATTTAAAAATATCATAAATGTTACATCTAAAACTTGGACAAAGAATTTAGGATGGACGATGACATCCATGATACCTATAAAATTTACTCTCCCTTGCCATTTACTGCTAATATTTCATAGATGATTAGGATTTGCAAATATTAATAATTTAATTGTGGCCTGCTCACCTATGGATATTGGAAATTTTATCAAAATTAAAAGTATAAATGATATATTAATACTCATAAATTATTCGGGTTCGATTCGAAAAAAATTTAAATTCAGTTCGATTATTATTGAGTCGAGTTCGAGTTCGAATAGCTCGACTTATCGATCGAGTCGAATTCGAGTATTCTTATATCCGATTCGAGTAACTTACGAGCTTAATCGAGCTTTTATATTTAAATATATTTTTATTATTTTAATTAATAAAATATTTCGAATTTTAGTTCGAGTATAAATAATCGAACTCTTGTCAAGTATACGAATCGAGCTTATTTTTATATATTAATCAAGTTTAATCGAGCGAACTCGAGTAGTTCAAATTCGATCACGAATCGAGTTCGAGCTTGAAAAATAAAATTCGATCAAATTTGAATTTAGTATCGAGTCGCGAGTTGTGAGTCGAACTCGAATTTAAATTTTTCACTATATCATTTCGATTCGATTCAATTACACCTCTAATCAAAACCATAGGTTAACGGCTTCTTTTTCTTTTAGATTGGAATACTGAACTCAGACAACATATACATATTAAAAGCATAAACAAAAAGCAGGCAAAACATAATAATGTCAAGTTTTTCCTAATTATATATGTATATAAATTATATCTGTAGTGTAAGTAAATTCCTGTTATATATATATGTATGACAGAATCATTAGAAATTAAAAGAAATTTACAACAAAAACCAAAAGACTTCAGTAGATAGTAAAGGAAAATGAGTTGTTAATAAGAGTTGATTAAGTTAATAAAAATTGAATGCTTTGTTTATAAATTTTAAAATTAATTCTCATTATTAGTAATTTTTTATGAATGATTTCTAAATTTTAAAATAGGCTTAATATCTTAATCCTGAAATGAAATAATTTTTATCTACCAATGAGCTTTGATAAATTGTAGTAGTGATTTAGGCAAAAAAAAAAATCCTTTTTTTTTTGGTCACAGGTTACAACATAGTTGAGCTACTTATCACGGAGGTACACATTTGATTCACTCCATACTTAATCGTCAGTTGAGAGTCAGAGTCAACCTGAAAAGGAAGAGAGTGAAAGAGAGAATAATAATTGCAGAGTTTCTTTTTAGAAGAATGTCCACCCAAAATTATAGAAAATAAGACAATAAATGAAGAGAACACTGAGACAGATGCTTCTCGTAATCTCATTAGATTTTTGCTATTTCTGAAAAACTGAAGCAAATATACCGTCTATCGGTTCACTAAGCCAGCTCATTCTTTATGGCATATACAGAATAAAAGACAATTAAAGTTTGATTCTTTCACATTCAAGTCTCATGATCCATCTTAAATGAAAACACCTATCTTTTTTTCTTCTCGTATCTGATTCCTTTCACAAAGGTAAGCGACTTTCTTCCTAAGTCCTAACCCAAGTTGTAGCTTTTTGTTTTTTATTTTTACTCTTTTTTTTTTTTTGAGATTCTAGGATTTGGGTTTTTTTGAGGGACTGACTTCTTATTTCTTTCCTCTCTGGCTTTTGGTTAAATTCTTTTTTTGTTTTTTTTTTTTTGGTGTTGGGTTTTGAAAGTTATAGCTTTCCTTTCTTATTCACTGAAAATGTTTGGAGAAAAAATATGAAACTCATAGACTTTTAACGTTGCTCCTTGTAGTTATTGGTTTGAGACTTTTGTCAGTTACGTGAACCAACTGGCGGTACTTTCTTCTCCATTTCCTTTTTCTGTTTTCAATGAAAACATTTTTGTTTGAATTGGAATTTGCTCTTGGTTAGTTCTGCATTTATTTGCCTGGTACTGAATGTTGAAACCTTCATTTGCTGGTCTGCAACCTGGAAAGGACCCCTTTGAGCTTTGAGCTTATTAGAATGTTGTTTGGTTTCTTTCTCTACAGGAAAACTAAGATTTGATGGAAAAGTTGTTATTAGTTTTTATTGACTTAGTTTATTAATTCTCGTAGCGTCATATTATAACTGAGTCACAGTTTTATTGACATTATGTTTATTTCAACATTCTTGTAATTATATGAAGATTCTGTTTATTTTTCTCCAGGGCTGCACCCTAGCCTAATATTGGTCTTTCCCTTTCATTCATTTTGAATCAAATTGAATCTTAAAAGAATTTTAGCATGCAAGAAAAGGAGACGTTTTACTTGCTCATAAGTGTGATTTTGCGAAGAGATCTAATGTCTTCAGGGAACCCCAACAGGGGGTCATTTAACCTGCTAATTGCTAATGCTGTGGGAATAGCTTTACCCTGGCTCGTTACCTGTTAGTTTTCTTTTTAGTATCATACCCTCCATGGTACCAAAAAGAAAAGGAAATAACAATTTTGTAAAAATGATATAGTCAAAGAACAAAGATATTTTTTCACTGTTAAATTTTTGTTAACTAAACCTAGAAATTAGTGGAAATGATGATTGCGAAGTTTTGTCAAAAATGTCACTGAAATGTAACTTTGTAAGTCATAAACTAAAAAGAAGAGAATTGCCTGTCTTTGTCCTCCCACCCCACCCAATTTTATAGAAGGTGCTAGAAATGCAGTAAAATTCTTGATGAGAGTAAAGAGCACAAGAGGTGGTGGTTGAGGGTTGCTACTTTTCACTTTTTGGGTGATTGTCCAGAGTCTAGCCACAAACTTGTTCATATGGGAGCTTTTTCTTTTGCATTTTCTCTTTTGCAATTATGTTGTTTCGTGACAGAATATTGATCTTACTGCCTATGTTGCTCAGATTCACATGAGAATGGGACATGGCATGTTAAGATTTTCTTGCACATAGTCCCAGGCCTGTTTTCAGGTGTCAGATATGCGTTGACTTGGGTACTTTAGGAAAATCAAGGGTCGGAGAAACATAGCTGTCTGGATGTGCTAATTGTGTATTATGTGCCTTATATTTACAATTTTGTTCCTGGATGCTTTTACAGAGATGGAAGTCACTTGTGTGCTCATACGAGATTTTGTATTTCATGGCATTGATCATTGGGGTTGACTGAAGATGGAATTACTTCTTGGTATTCTTATATTGGCTTTCTTGCTTTCTTTTGTATCTGCTGATTTTCAAGGTACATGGTTATTATTTTTTGACATTTTTCATCAAACATGCATATGCTGTACTTATCAAAGCAATTTTTTCTAAGGATTTCACTTAGTGTGGTAAGTTTGATGATAGACATTGTCCAAAATGTGCATGTATGTGGGTGTGTGTGTCCTTTATTTTTTAACATTAAACACAAGTTATGATCTAATTAGTTTTCTCATAACTTTAACACTTTGGAGTTTTGGGTCCTTATTAGTGCTAAACTATTTAGGTGTAAAGGGAAGATGTTACTCAGCCTGTAAGCTCAAATGGGAACACAATAAGATGCCAGAAGCTTTTCTCGTGCTCACTGTGAATATGCAATTTACCTCCTTACTGTCTATTAATTGTTGTCAGTCAGATTTGAGTTACTGAGGCCTCTAGAGTTGGTTGCTTATACGTTTTTAATCAAACTATATGACACTTTATGTCCTCTACTGAAATATTACTGGGTTGAGTTTGAGGTTTTTTTGAGAAACTTGGGCTGATATTTGCCTAAATAATAGTGATGATAAGGTCTCATGTGGTGCATAACCACATATTGAGGATACTGGATGATCTCATTTCTTTTCATACTTCTATTGATTTTAGATGCTAATTCTTTAGGCCTGGGTTGGCCAAGGGGATATTTGTTTGCTTACTTGGATTATGAATATCCATATAATCTGTTTCAGGAGATGCTTTACATGCATTGAGGAGTTCACTCAATGCTTCAGCCGATCAGCTGCCAAATTGGAATCCAAATCTAGTTAGCCCTTGCACTTGGTTAAATGTTATGTGTGATTCTAGTCATAATGTCATCTCTGTGTAAGTAATTAGTGTACTTAATTTTTCTCCTTGACTATGATGCATAGTCAGAAATGTATGCCGGCATGATTTAATTGTTCATGAAATATTATTTTGTTTGTACTTCTCTGTTATATTAATTTATGGTTATCCTTATATTGTCATTGTGCTTTCAGGACATTGTCATCCATGAACTTGTCTGGCTCCTTGTCACCTAAAATAGGAGTTCTGAAGACTCTTTCATCACTGTACGTTTGGAACATATTTGAGCAAACAGTAGATTTCAATAATTTATGTTCTTGTGTAGAATTTTGCTGAGGCCATTTTTCTTGATTTCCAAATAATGAATTTATGTATATCTTACCTAATAGTGATGAAAACTCTTTGTTATGATAATCATTGATCTGCTTGAGGGTTAAATTAGGTTCATTCTCCGGTGTAATTTGTTAGTTCTATGGATGCCATGAATAGAGACATCAAAAGGCATCACTAAAAAGCAGGATAGTTATTAGGGAAAAAAAAAGACAAAGAAAGGAAAATAAAAAAGATGCAATCTAGCATCTCCAATTAGTGTGTCTAAACCATTCCTGATATGGCATTTTTAAAATGCATTTACAGATATCTTTGGTAATTTTTTTTTTATCATCTTCAGTTTTTATTGTACAGGGGTAAAAATGTTTGGTCCCCACTTTTTTGATTTTTAATTTTTTTAAATAAAGACTATTTGTATTTAGTTAGTAAGTAAGCATGCAAAGTAAGATGTCATTTTTGACATTTTATGTGGTGGTATCATGAGTAGTTTCCATGGAATGCCTAAAAAGGATTCAGATCCTAAACCTTGAAGATGCGTCAGTAGATAGCAACTGTGCTGGTGTATTGGAATTGAAAAAAATTTAGATATGTTCTGCTGAACTCCTCATTCAAATCCCGTTATTGCTAAGGCTCCACAAACGCTAAGCTGAAGTTAACATTAAAAGCCTTATATTTCCAATTTCTTAGGGTTGACAGCAAAATCTCCTTGCTAACAGTGCGTGAACCTTTCCTTTCATATCATTGTCATCATGTCATGTTTCATGCTGTCTATTGATTTATATCGTACAGCATTACTATGCCCTATGTTCTTCTCATATGACAGGGCTGAACAATCTGATTCCCTCATGAAATAAAATGGCTATGTTGGAGATGGAAAAAATTCTGAGAAAAGTAAGTAGTTTAATGAAACTTAACGAAGAACACTGGTCTCAAGTGGACTGGAAAAGTAGCCACCTATGATTGCTGATTCCAAAGGACCATGATAAAGCTTTACTATAGGGTGCAGACTGTGCTGCTGAAGCTATTGATGCAATACTATGTAGCTTCATAATTTTCATGTCTTTAGAGGAAAAATATATGATGCATGCTGCGTGTCTAGTGGGTTGTATCTTTGTTTTTATTGGAGAACCATTATAGTAAAATGTTAGGATTATTTATTATTATTAATTTAAAGCATAGACTGAAGTTGCAAGCTTTTGTTATTTCAATTTCATATTTGGCTTAGTAGCATGTAATAAGAACAATTTTGTTGAATTGGTTACTTAAGTGTATGGTTCATTATAGCCTTGGGGTGAATCTTTTGTGTTTATATATTTCTTTATTGTATGTGTTCATCATGCAGTGTATTGAAAGGAAATGGTATAACTGGTGAGATACCAAAAGAGTTAGGCAATTTGTCAAGCTTGACAAAATTGGATTTGGAAAATAATCGGTTGACTGGAGAAATACCTTCTTCCCTTGGTAATCTTAAAAATCTTCAATTCCTGTAAGTACCATTCATATTATACTTGAAGTTTTATTTGTTCTTGTGTATTATGTATGTTTTCATTGGAAGGCATTCTGTCTTTCATTGAAGCAGGACACTGAGTGAGAACAATCTTACTGGAACTGTCCCTCAGTCAATTTCAGATCTTCCAAAGTTGATCAATCTGTATGTATTGAATCCTGAATGATATCTGAATGTGTGGGAAAACTTCACTTATTTGACTAAGACTTGAGTTTTGAATGAGTCGGTCAATGACTTCCCTGTTTGTAAAGTTCTGAACTTAATGTACAAGGAGTTATATCTCTTTATGCTTTTTGAAGTTACTGATGGCATGGTTGAACTCTTTCTGCAGTCTGCTTGATTCGAATGATCTTAGCGGTCAAGTTCCTAATGATTTGTTCCGCATTCCAATTTACGAGTATGATTATCTTTGATAAGTTTGTTTCTCCAATTCTAATACAAAGAAATAAAAAAAATATTGTAAACCATTCATTCATTTTGATTCTGTGTATATACCTCTCTCTCTCGTCAATGGTCAACAGCTTGTTTTCTCACACCATTCACAAGTATTTATAAGCAGTGAACTTAAGCTTACATAACTCTGTTTATTTCAGTTTTACAGGAAACAGGCTAAATTGTGGTGAAAATTTTCCTCACAGTTGTGTGTCAAATGGATATGATTCAGGTAATTGGATTAACTGTATCGACTTAATTACATTGTTGTGATCAATTGCTTCAAAGATACACCATTTAAATTTGCACCATAATTTGACCAGCTATCTCTGAGGTTTCTCTTTGCTTTCAGGTTCTTTGCGGAAGCCAAAGGTTGGAATTATTGTTGGTGGATTAATAATTCTTCTTGTTTTTGGTGGCTTGCTGTTTTTCTTGTACAAGAGTAGACAGCAAGGCTGCAAGGGTGAAGTATTTGTAGATGTTGCAGGTTACCGTTACCTTTCATACTTCTGAATGAAAACTAGTGGCTGATGATTTTTTATGTTTATTTTAAAGTTTCTCTTGTTTTCTTTTATTTATTTATTTTTTGGTCTTGTCTCCTACTGGTTGATCAAACAGTTTCTCCATCTATAGGGTGATTTGTACTATTGGTCAAGGTTTACTTAATCTGCCTCCATGGTTTTAGGCCAGTAAAATTATATGACAAAGGATTAATCTTAGTCCAGTAAGTGAAGATGACACTCTGAGCTATATGCTTGGCAGAATTTTGTGTTTTCATTCATAAATTCATCAATCAGAACTGATGTTGACAGAGATGAAAACTTTGTGAAATACCAATGGGTGCCTTATATAAAATGTCAGAACTTGGGAGAAATTAAAAACTCAGATTAAATCACAGATAAGTTACAAAAACAAAATATGAAATTTGAAATAATTTAAATTATTGTTCAGAAGTTGGTAGTTATTGCTTTGTGAAACTCAAATATGATTTTCTTGGTTGTCAACTGTTTAGGAAGGCCATATGTGTTTTAGTCTACTGTGCTTATGAATCAGTTTTCATCTTTTGACATTTTAATTGAAAGATGAATTGTGCATTATATGTTTCGTAGATTTGTTTTTAAACTCCTTAAATTTGCATGGTCAGGTGAAGTTGACCAAAAGATTTCTTTTGGTCAATTGAAAAGGTTTGCATGGAGGGAATTACAGTTGGCTACTGATAGCTTCAGCGAAAAAAATATCCTTGGACAGGGAGGTTTCGGAAAGGTTTATAAAGGCGTGTTTTCTGATAACACAAAAGTTGCAGTTAAGAGATTAACTGATTTTGAAAGTCCCGGAGGAGATGCAGCTTTTCAACGAGAAGTTCAGATGATAAGTGTAGCTGTTCACAGGAATCTCTTACGGCTGATTGGCTTTTGCACAACACCAACAGAGCGCCTTTTGGTCTATCCATTTATGGAGAATTTAAGTGTGGCCTATCGTCTCCGGGGTACTAGTTCTTTGAGAATTTTATTCAGCATGACTTTTATTTAACTCTTGTTCTTTAGTTTCTAAAGAAACATAGTTTATATTTTCTGCATGTGATAGATGCAACCATGAGCTCTTCTATTTTGAGCATATTCTAAGAATACACATATTCAATAACAGTCAATTTAAGTAATTTATCAGGGTTGATGTAACTGCCTTTAATTCAGCTGAAAAGAAAAATGAATATTGCCTTTTCCAGCCTGCATTATTAGTGGATACAAGGAATGCTCTTTAGCTGATTACTGTTGTACAAAGTTGAGGTCCTTCAACTAGTAATTTAAACTAAACATGGAAGACATTCTAACTTTAATCTTTTCCTTTCTGCATTATTCTCTTTTATATAATAGTGAAACTTTAAATCTTTCCATCAAGGATGCTTGTCTAGACTTCTTATTTTCGTAGATAACTCCGGTTGGGATTCAATTAAACTGTTAGAGGTTGTAGACTTAGTGCATTTAAGAATGTGAAAAGGAGAAAATTTACTCATTCTTAAAGCAAACCTTGCTCTAAAACTTGGCGTACAGGCTACGTTAGGTGCAGAAAAGTATTAGGTAATGTTGAATTTTTAATAGAATCCTTGATGGAATATGTCAATTTGCTGCATGTGTCTAAATGTCATCTTTTGGAATATGTCTAAATGTCATTGGGCTATTTTTATTTAACATTATTATTATTTTTAAAGCATTCAGTTCTAGGGACCTTCATAAAATGTGTGACTAATATCTGGAACTACTGCAGAACTCAAACCTGGTGAACCTGTTTTAGATTGGCCTACAAGAAAAAGAATAGCCCTTGGGGCAGCACGTGGGCTGGAATACCTTCATGAACATTGCAATCCTAAGATCATTCATCGGGATGTGAAGGCAGCTAATGTATTATTGGATGAAGACTTTGAAGCAGTTGTTGGTGACTTTGGCCTTGCAAAGTTGGTGGATGTGAGGCAGACAAATGTTACAACTCAAGTTCGCGGAACAATGGGCCACATAGCACCTGAGTACTTGTCTACCGGCAAGTCATCGGAAAAGACAGATGTCTTTGGTTATGGGATTATGCTTCTAGAGCTTGTAACAGGTCAACGCGCGATTGATTTTTCACGCTTGGAAGAAGAAGATGATGTTTTGCTGCTTGATCATGTAAGATAACTCGAATCTGTTACTCTGTCTGCTTTTGCATTGTCTTTAGCCTTTCTTCCTATTTCTTTACATACTTGTTTATGTGCATGGCGTGCATTGGGCAATGCTGCCACCATAAGTTGTGGTATACGCTGCCACCCCAAATTTTTATTGTGTTGAGACATGCACAACCTCCCATGTATATATTGTTCTGACAAATACCAGATCAAGCAAGTGAAAGCAAAAAAAATAAAACAGAAAGAGCACACAAAGGTTTTTCATGTGGAAAGATTCCACATCTTTCAAGTAACAAACTTCCAAAATTACGTCACTAATTCATTCTCTGTATCTCACACAATCTTTCATACCGAAAGCCTATGACACCCAAGAGCTCTCATTGATGATCACTTAAAGGTGTCTTTCAACTCTCTTAAACAGCACACACTTAACCCTAAGCATATGCATGCATTTTTACACACCCAAAAGACCGTAAACTTATCTAGCAAGGAAAAAATTAATTACCAAGGTAAGTCTAAACAACCATAATCAAAATGTGAGTAGGAAATCTATATGTTTATCTATTGTTGAAGGTAATAAAATGCAAACCTATAAAAATTTTGTAGCCATTTTACCCTCATTGATGCTGAATGTTCTTTTCTCTTAATTGACTCTATTGAGCATGCTTCTATTGTTTATTTGGAGTTGCAGATATCTTATTTCACCATATGATCATGTGTATCTTGTGAGGGTGTAACTTTAATTTGGTCTTCAGATCTGTTAATGGTTATATGTGCTTAATTTTGTCAAAGCTGAGTTAGCATTACGTGTTGGTATAGGCATGCATTTGAAAAGGATGGGTGGGCCTTGGTGGTTCAATTCTAATTCTTGAGAGGACTGGAAAGAAAAGATTATTTACTTGTATGTGAAGTCTGTTTTTATCATCATGAATGAGTTGAATTAGATTTTTTGCACCTTGAAAAAGGCTACTAAATCTGAGTCTTGATCTATATTAAGCGAGCAATGTAGGACAATGGCATGTATTGCTTGCCATATCTACTTCCTGTTACATTGGTCTGGAACAATGAAGGAATTATCTGTAGGCTCCTTTGTACCTTTGAAAATTGTATGTTTGATCTGTGGAGATGAAATCATAATAGTTTGGTATGCAAATACATGCTGTTCTTAATTTTTTTTCATTCAAGTTAAGCACCATTTTGGCATTTTGCTCACTGGATGACTACTCCTTGTTTGTTTGTGAAGGTGAAGAAGCTGGAAAACGAGAAAAAGCTGAATGCTATTGTAGATCGTAATCTTAATAAAAATTATAACATCCAGGAGGTGGGGGCAATGATCCAAGTTGCATTGCTTTGTACCCAAGCTTCACCAGAGGTTCGTCCAGCAATGTCAGAGGTGGTGAGGATGCTGGAAGGAGAGGGGCTGGCAGAGAGGTGGGAAGAATGGCAGCATGTTGAAGTTACACGTAGGCAAGAGTATGAAAAACAAAGGAGATTTCGATGGGGAGAAGATTCGTTACATAACCGGGATGCAATGGAGTTATCTGGTGGAAGATGAGCTAAAGAATTCACTTGCGTGTTAAAAGCATGTAACATCCTAGCTTGTATTAGTAGGTTAGCAAAATCAATGTTTCAGTTGGTGAGCAGAATTTTCATTTGAGCAATGACAGGAAAATAGTGAAAAAAATGCCATCATGTTTTTATACCCCATGCATTGCTTGTCTTCTAAGTGTTTTTATTCAATATTTCTTGTATGTGTTTATTGTATCAAAGAGCACACCTAAAGAAATGGCATGATCTTGTATTTCCAGGTGATGCTGTTACAAATAATATATTAATAAAATAATTTTTTTATTATATAAATATTATATTAGTAAATAAAATATTCATAACTATTATTATATTTATTATATTTATTATATAAATAAATAATATTAATATAATATATTATTAATAAATAATATTTATGAATATATTATTTATATCATACTAATATAATATATTATTTATTAATATAATATAATATTAATAAATAATATATTATTTTTTATTAATATAATATTTATAAAAAATATATTATTAATAAAAAATGGAGTCTAAAAATTTTAACCACTTTCTCTGCATGTTTTTGTTTTCAAAATTTTAAAACAAAAAACATTTTATTCAAATAGGTTTTCAAATCCAATAAATTAAAAATAAAATGAAAATAGAACAAAACAAAAATTTCAAAAATATAAAACATAAAACACGGAACAATATCAAACGATTTCTATATTAATTAGGGTTTTTTTTTTGGACCAAATAATTAGGTTTGTTGAACTTTCAACAATTTAGGGAAGATCATGTATAAGTTCAATGTAATTGCTACTTAATTAAGCTAGCTTTGCTTTATTCAAAGGTTGTCATTTTGGACTTTAGCTTAATCAGCAGAAGGCTATGCGTGCGGCTTTTCCCAACGTTATAAATAGCCGATAAACTCGTTCTTCATTAGGATGGTGGGAGCGCCTTCCATTCAAATGAAGCAAAACGTTATAAACAGCCGATAAACTCGTTAAACAGATGCTTCATTAGGATGGTGGGAGCGCCGCCCATTAAAATGAAGCAAAAGTAGGTGAATAAACGACAAGACCGGTGGTTAGACATGCCAGATAAAAAAAGAGACAACAAAAGCAGAAGGAAATAAAGAAATTAGAACACCATACATTCAATTCAATGTGAAAATCTGGAACAACTCAATATCAGGAAGCAATGTGTCAAAATTCATTCACGTGATATGTTGATAACAAGTTTTAATTTTTAACTTTAGTGATTAAATTTAATATCTAACTATCTTAAATCATTTATCTATATATAAAAGTGTAAATTTTAAAAGTGTTAATAGTGATCGATCTAAATACTCTTATAAAATTTTAAATTAATAAATTTATTTTTAAATATTTAATTTTTATTAATTTATTTAAATTTAATTTAAATCAACTAAAATTTAAAATAGAGTTTATTTGAAACTAAACTTTCTAAAATTTTAATTTCAAAAATGTTAAAACTGATCAATTAAAACATTTTTAGTAAATATTTCTATAAATTTTAATTTAAATAATTTTTTATTATTAGGCTTTTTTTATAATTAGATTAAAAGAGTGCTAAAAGTGATTGATTAAAATATTCTTAATAAAATATTTAATTTCAAAAAAGTTAAAAATAATTTATTAAAATATCATTAGTAATTTTTTATATATTTTAATTTAAATAACTTTTTTATTAAACTTTTTTTTTATAAATAAAATGATTTTTCACATCAAATGAAAATACAAATAAAATAAGATCAAAATTTAATGTGGATAGAAATAAAAAAATTATTTAGAGTTTGTTTATTTAGTTGTTGTAAAAACAATTGTATATGTAGTTTATACTGATAAATAAATTTATTAAAGATAATTATAATTAAATCATTGATGCATATTTGTTTTTTATTTCTATTTTTTGCCTTTCAATTTTTGTTTTAATATTTTAACTATAAATGTAATGATTTTATTATTTATATTTTTATGAGTTGATCATTCGATCATTCACAAGACAATTAAATTTTTTTTAGTCTCTTGAAATTATTTTTTAATATATTATTTTTACAGTTTAGTTTTAACCTTTATAATTAGTTTTTCTTTTATATTTTTTCTTTAAAATTTTATAATTGTTATTTCCATAAACAAAAATTAATATCAAATCAAGTACAAATCAATTGTATCCCCTTCATCAACTATTAATACTATATGAATCATTAAACACTTTAATTAGATTTTCTATATGTAGAATTAGATAATTTATGAGGTGGTAGAACTATCAGTAGCTTAGGATTGGTCCCGTTAAATTACCATAAGAATGGTTTACTTTGATTGAAAAATAATTAATTTAATTTTCTCTCAACTTTTATATTAATATGCATATACATATGATTAATTTGTATCTCAATATTATTTAATATTTCTCAATTGTATTAAATTAGTCATTTTTTTTTGTCATCCAAGTGGTTAAACGACAAACGTGAATTATTTTAAGTAAAAAATTATTAAGTGAAGTAAAATTAATTATTTTTTATGAATTCTTTAAGATATGACAAAATTTATTGGAATTATCTTTTAAATATGTTTATGACAAAACTACATTCATTCATGAAAATTTATGTTGTTAATGCTAAAAATGAAATTGTTATAAATTATATAGGTATTACATAACAAGTTTGTTATTCTTATAATTGAAATTTTTTTAAGAAAATATGACAAGTACCAAGGTCAGAAATTTATTTTATTTTATTTTATTTTATTTTAAATTTTAAATTATATATTTTTATATTTTTATTTAATAAAAATTCATATTATGTATTTTATTTTATTTTATTCTAAATTTTAAATTATGTATTTTAATTTTTTTTTTGAAAAGTAGCAGGCTAGTAGCCTCTAGACAGGCTATTTATTTGATTTCAAACCAATGCATGTGCATAACACTTCCACATCTCAATAATGTTTATAGTTGATTTCAGTCAGATGGAATGGCTTCCTGTTATTCTTCTTTTCCTCCTCCCAGTGTTTTCATTGCTTCTTCTAACGAAAAAGAGGAGAATGGAAGGTATTAAGCTTCCTCCAGGCCCTCTAAAACTACCTGTCATTGGAAACTTGCATCTATTGGGAAACTTGCCTCACCGCTCCCTTGAAAAATTGTCCAAGAAATATGGCTCGGTCATGTTATTGCAGCTAGGTAGTGTACCTACTGTGATTGTTTCATCAGCCAAAGCAGCTAAACAAGTCCTCAAAACTCATGATCTTGATTGTTGCAGCCGTCCTGCATCCCCAGGTGGAAACAGATTTTCATACAATGGTCTAGACGTGGCGTTTTCACCATATGGTGATTATTGGAAGGAAATGCGCAAAGTTTTCATTTCTGAGCTCTTGAGTATGAAGAGGGTACAATCTTTTGCATATGCAAGGAAAGCTGAGGTTGACAAATTGATCGCTTCTCTATCTCAGGCTTCTCCGAAGCCAGTCAACCTCAACGAAAAAATATTTGCTCTCGCAGATGGTATCATTGGGACGGTTGCTTTTGGTAAGATATATGGAACAGACCAATTCAATAATCAAGAATTTCACAATGTTCTTGGTGAGGCTATGAACATGATGGCTAGCTTCTCAGCAGAGGATTTTTTCCCTAGGATAGGAAGGTTTGTAGATGCTTTGACAGGATTCAAAGCTAGGCTTGAGAAGAGCTTTTGTGAGCTCGATGCTTTCTTGCAAGTGGTGCTTGTCCAACATCTTGATCATTCAAGGCCTAAAGCAGAGCATGAAGATCTTGTTGATTTCCTGATTGGATTAATGAAAGATCAAAGCAAACCTTTCAGGGTAACAGAGAACAATGTCAAGGCAATGCTCTTTGTAAGTTACTCCTGCATATTGTTTCCCCTAACCATTCATATTTTAATAATTTGGTGCAATTATTAATTAGGCATTTAGGCATGTCTTTAGGTTTGAAATTAGAGTTAATATTTAACATATTGATGGCATATAAATTTTATATACTATTAATAGATTATATGATATTATACATAAAATTTTACACATCCTTAAAATAAATAAATAAAACTTTAATTTTTAATTTTTTTTATTAATGAGAAGGCATCATATATGCTATACAGTATCCTCATGGCAGTCAAGAAAAAAGCCAATATGTAACCAAATTTATTACAATTTATTTCCTTCCTTTTTCCTCTTGCCAGGATACATTTTTTGGCGGCATAGTCACCACTTCTATTACAATTTTATGGGCAATGTCAGAGCTGATCAAGGATCCAAGAGTGATGAACAAGGTGCAAGCTGAAATAAGACATTGCATTGGAAGGAAAGCAAAAGTAGAAGGAGAAGATCTTGCAAAATTCAAGTACCTAAAAATGGTTGTTAAGGAGACCTTCAGATTACATCCACCACTCACTATATTACTCCCCCGAAAGGCAATGCGGCAATTCAAAATTGGTGACTATGATATACTTCCTAAAACAAGAATTTTGGTTAATGTTTGGGCTATTGGCAGGGACCCCAACAGTTGGGAAAACCCCAATGAGTTTTACCCTGAAAGATTTGAGGAAAATGAGTTTGACTTCAAAGGGTCAGATTTTAATTTGTTGCCTTTCGGAGCTGGTCGTCGAATTTGCCCCGGATTGGCAATGGGAGCCACAAATGTTGAGTTCACGTTGGCTAACTTATTGTACTGTTTTGATTGGGAGCTGCCTAGTGACATGAAGAGAGAAGATATAAGTATGGAAGAAGAAGGTGGACTTGCTTATCAAAGGAAGACACCCCTTTGTCTTGTGCCAATAAGAAACAATTCCTAAAGCCCAAAAAAAACTCTTTAATATAGAGTTTGCATGGATTGGATAGCACTAGAAAACGAGAAAAAAACAGCGGTCAGGGAAATTAATTTATGGATAATCTCTTTTAATTTGAATAACTCGTTTTCGTACTGTTTTAGTTATTTTTCTTTGTTGCATTGTTTCCTGACGGAGTTCCGTGTTGAATTTAAGATTATCATAATTACTCAATCAAAGCAATGTAGGATTCCTACACGTTACTCTCTTTACTTTAATAATCAAAACGGTTCATAGTATCATTTTAACCAACATTTCTGTTTAGATGTCGCTTTCGATATTACTCGTTCTGGTGCCTTTTCTTGGCACTCACAGCAAACCTAATTTAACTAAGATTCCCTTTAATATTTCTTTTCCTTCTTTTCTTATTTGCTTTTTATAACAGAATAGGTTAAATTAAGTAATATTGAAATACAATCTATTTATATCTGTAGAAGCAAAAGCTCATTGTTAGAATATATTTTTAAGTTAAAATTTTAAGTATATGAATATAAGCCAATATGAATTATGTGTTATTGTAATTTTATGATGGAGACGTACCTCTTAACCTTTTATTCCGTGAAAGTGGAGTTAACAAATTCATACATTTATATTTTTTATTAATTGAGATTGTTACATATGAACTTAATCATTCAACTAACCAGCCCAAGATTCAACTAATAGTACCATAAGTTATTTAGATGGTTCTTGGTCTGAAGAGGCGATACTGGACCCAATCGCCTTATCCCATGCTTTTCATTTTTGCCTTAATCTGCCATTGCTTCACTAGCTATCTCGTTATTTTCCCTCTCAAGATCTCGGCATGAAGCCTAGCTTCTGCTTGTCCCGTGCTCCACATATTCTAGCAGGTTGCTGCCAGACTTGATGCGCTCGATCGGTGCCTGCAACCGCTAGAGCTAGCTAATTCAACGGACATGACCTTTTTCCGTTTGTTTGATTACGGGAGCAGTGAGCTAATTATCTAAGCTCTCTCAATTGTGATTTTTTGTTCTTTTTATGACCTGAAACTTGGTGTAAACGTTTGTGTCCACATGATGCTTGTGGTCTCTTTTGTAAAAATCAACCGTCTTTTTATTTCTCGGAAGTTGTTTGATTCCAATTTGTCAAAAATAAGAGGTTGCGTCTGCCTTCAAGATTTATGGAAGAAATCAATTAACCTTAATCATGCTCATAAATGAGGAAAAGGTGAAAAGAATAATTTTGTACAGTTATTTGTGATAATGGTTTTCAACCAGAAATAACACATATTTCTAAACTTAAAGTTATTAATGAAAAACATTGGTTTTATAGAATTTTGTAGGAAAACTTCAGTGAAGACCCATTAAAGCTTTGGAAACGCAGTCTAAGATACTGTGAACTTACTTTTCAGTCTCCAAAAGAGATTATTAGAGTAAAGCCCATTATCTATACCAAACAGGATATAGATGAATTTGAAGTTCAAATTTCAGAATTGCTCGACAAAGGTCTGATAGAACCAACTACCAGTCCACACTTCAGTCCAACATTCATGGTAAGAAACCATTCTGAGATTAAACGAGGTAAACCCCGTATGGTTATTAATTACAAGAAATTAAACCAAAATCTTGTTTTTGATGGCTATTTTATCCCTCAAAAAGATGTTTTAATTAATTTAGCAAAAAATGCTAAATATTTTTCTAAATTTGATTGTAAGTCAGGTTTTTGGCAAATCATGCTAAATGAAACCTCTAAACCCCTTACTGCTTTTAGTGCACCAGCAGGCCATTACCAATGGACTGTTATGCCTTTCGGTCTATGCAACGCACCTCAAATCTTTCAGCGTTGGATGGACAATATTTTCAGCAAACATAAACAATTTTGCTATATATATATTGATGATATTTTGATATTTTCTAATACATTAGATGAGCACAGGAAACACCTGAATCTTATTAATTTATTTTACACGGTATTATTTTAAGTCCCAAAAAAGTTGAACTTGAAAAAACTGAAATTGAATTTCTTGGTCTTAATATTTCTGCAAACGGACTAACCCTGCAGGATCATATTATTTTCAAGATCAAAGACTTTCCAGAAGAACTGGAAAACGTCAAACAGCTACAGCAGCTGTTAGGTATACTTAATTATGGCAGGCAATTTTTCAAAAACCTTTCCAAAAAGGAAAGCTATCTTTTGCGTAAATTACGTAAAGATAATGATTTTGTCTGGACACCTAACAATTCTGATATTGTCAAATAGATCAAATCAGAGTTAACCACTATACCTAAGGTCTATTTACCTAAACAATGTGACCTCTTAATTTTAGAGACAGATGCCAGTGATAAACACTGGGGATGTGTCTTACAGGCTAAAAATCTGCATCAAAAAGATGAATTGATTTGTGGATATAATTCTGGTAAGTTCAAACCGAACAAAATAAATTATATTATTTTTGAAAAAAAAATTATTAGCCATAAAAAATGGTGTACAGCGATTCCACATCTATTTAGCCCCGGAGTTCTTTGTTATCCGAACAGATAACCAATTAGTCAAAAACTTTCTTCAAAATAGAAAGCTTTATGATAATCCCAAGCGAATTAGGTGGTACAATTTTCTTTGTTCTTATCATTTTCAGGTAGAGTTCATCAACGGAGACAAAAATCTCCTTGCAGACTTTTTAAGTAGACCTCATGGATCGAGGAAAACACTCAATCCATGATAATGGTGGATGGAGAACTGTAAAGAAGAAACAAGGTAAAAAATCCTCTTCTTCTTTTTCCTCTTCTACTCTTTCTTCTCCACGACCCCAGATCTCTACAAATCCTAACCAAGGATTTAACTTTTACAATAATCCTAACCAAGGATTATATCTCTATCAACAACCTCTTTATCGACCCCCTTTTATGAGGATTCAACCAGAATACTCACAGTTTGCTCAAGATCCAAACGACTGGACTCCTATGAGTTATTCTCAAATTGTTTCTTCCACAGAACAACTATTGGCAAGAACAAACTTTACATTCTCTAATCCAAAGATAAAAGATTTTTACAATCCTGGACTTGAACCACAAATCTACAGTTTGTTAAACAAAGTTTGGAAATCCTATCTCTCAGAAAACAAAACTAGCTTTCGAAAAAGGATGATCAACTTAGCTGAATTCCTAGTCAAACAGGCTAACGAATTTCAGAATTTTAAAGAAATAACTTTCCAAAGTCTTTTATCAACAAATCTGCTAAAACAGTAAGATATTGATTTCTTTACTTTGGAAGAAAATCAGTATAGTCTTTAAGAGATAAATAATTTCTTGAATTTATGTGAATATTTTGAGAAAGATAATTTTATTTCTTCTAATAACTGTACAAAATTTATGTGCATATGGTGACTAGTAACGGACAGGCATGTGACTTGCCTTTTATGCTGGCCTTTTAGGGTAAACCTTTTTTTCTTTTTCAATGGTTGATTTGAAAGATCAAGGGGATATAAATCAATGAGATTTACAAATCAATGAGGCTTTGATAAATTTGGTGTATATGCAATATTGCACGGAGAGGAAATCTCTTGCTGTTCTTGTCAGAGAAAAAATCTCCAGTCCCATGTGTGAGAGTGTATATATCATCATAAATTATTGAAAAAAGAAAAAAGAGAAAAATGTCCAATAGGTAGATCATAGCTCAACATATCTTTATATTTCTCATAAAATCTCTTGAACTTGTTAACTGAATACATTACGACTTTTGAACTGGAATGCGATCTGATTCACTGAAGCAATTGTTTTAGCCGATTTTGCCTTTACCGACAGTTCATTAACCAACAATATGTTACCGCTGGTGATAATCTTTTTCTCAACTTAATGGCTGGTGTTTGGCTCTGCTAATTATAAGGTGGTGGCTGCTCCAGCCCTTCATGCTTCCAGACTTCCAAGTAGATACTGCAAACTTTGTAATCCACCCCCGCCATTGCCAGAGCTTCATTTGACATATTTGTTTCTCTCACAAACTATAATTTGCTTCTGGCTATTGGTTGTCATGGAAACTTGCTTGAAGCATTTAAATAGGTGAAGCAGTTTCACCTTTTTCCTAGGTGATAAAGATACACGGGATTTACCTGCACAATTAAATTAGGTTGACACTAAATGGTACCATTTTACCCCAGAATCATGATCCCTTTTTTTCGTATATCCATCTATCAGTGAGTGCGTCCATGGATAAGAGTGTAGTCTTGGATGAATGAAAAGTAATAGATTAATAGCATGGCTTTTTGTATAAACACACTAGTATTAGCCTTATGCAGGTAAACTTGTACCTTGATTTTGGAACGTTTAAATGAGAGTTTCCTCTATCAATGTGTTTTCACACCTTGACATCAAACTAATTCACTGGAAAAGGTGTACAGAACTTAGTTCTACTGCAGCTTAATATCCAGCATGCCCTAGGTGAGAAAGAAGGATAAATATTGCGACGACTGAACGTGAATCCTGCAAATCTGGTCATTGAAGATAACTTGTTCCTGCTATTGCTAAAATCTTGCAATTTAGGTAAATTGTCTTGGCTTTAATTGTTCCAGAATTATTCTCAGAACAAGAACTAAATTATCTCAATTCCATATGCTATTATGCAAATGATCGTCCATAAATTAGAGGTTCCGAAATCCTTGTAAAAATTCACAGGTAGCATACAAATTAAGTATTTCAGGTCTGTCAACAAATGTTGAATTCTTAAGTTCAAAATTCAATCCTGATGGTTTCAAATACCCCAAAAAATATTTCAGGTCTCTTTTCGGGTTTTATTTTTATTTATTTTTTTTATTGTGTTGTGTTGGGGTAGTAGGGTGGTTTATTCCTAAGATTAGAGTCATCCAACTAAGAAGCAAAGCAATACTCTCGTGACCATATTATATAGCAGTTTGCTGGTGATTAAAGCAATGACGCAAGCTTGATATCTTTCTGTGTTGTGTCCTCTACCTTCATTAATTAGCAGAGGAGATGTTGATAACTAACCAAAGGGAATAGATATTATGGAATACTATCAGAATTAAACCAGAACTAAACTGGGTTTGTTAAACTTAGGAACTTAATTATTTCTGAACTTTTAGTTTCGACAACTAGGAAGCTAGCTTTTGAACTTACAGTTGCAACTTGCAACAACAGTTGTGATATAGAAATTCGATCCGGAATTAAGCAATAGGGCATGAATTCACCGGAATCTGAAATTTACTCCTAGAAATTGTTCATCGTTAAACCAAAAAACAAAAGATATATGTATAC